TGTCGGGGCTTAACCCCGACGCGGCCTGCCACCAACTCACCATAGATCCGGCCGCTAGGGCCATAGTACAACATAGGCGTGGCAGTCTCTCGAGAAAGCGGAGGCTCCTGAAAAAGATGCAAAAGACCTCTTAGAGGCAAGCCCAATACACAACCTGGCTGTCTAACATTGTATTAGTTTAAATATCTAATGAAAAATGGAGAATGTGTGTTGACTATACCTAGGGGTGGAAATAGGTTGGGCCGAGCTAGGCTTTGCCAAGCTTGAGTCTGACTTGCTAAAAAATTCAAAGCTTAAGTCTGATTTGTAGCCTATCATAAGCTTATTTTTAGGCCTAAGCCTGGCCTACTAGCCTATTTAAAAGCCTACTTCATTTGAACATTTATAAATAAGAAATTCAACTAATGTTAAATAGACTAACAAATTAAAAGATCATTGAGACTAAATATTTGTTTTCATTGTCTCATTCAAGTTTACCTATTAGCATAAGTTTGATGACACTATTTATTAAAGATAACTTATAGAAAAAACTTATGACAACAACTTATTACATTGTTTATAATGTTTTTTCAACTTATTTTCAAGTTGTTTAAAATAACTATGCTTTATTTTCGTATTTTAATTCAAAGTATAAAATACAATATAATAATAATAAATTTATTGATTTTTTTATAAATAGACTGGCCTGATAGGCTTAAAAGGCTTTTCTTACGACTTGTGGCCTAGCCTCTTTAGCTAAATAGGCTTATAAAAAATTCTAGGCCTTTTCTATTTAAGAAAAAGCCTGGTCTGGTCTGAGCCTATGTAGGCTAGGCCGTAGGCCCCTGTTCATACAGTGACACATAACTCTATTATGAAGCCCAAACTTGCCAGATGGCTTGGTCTGAGTAATATCTTTATGATGAACAAAGCCTACTTAGACAATCTAGTTTGTAATCTTAGTAGAGGGTGTGACGAGCTTTGTTGCAAGGCCCTCATGGGTAAGTTTAAGAGAATCAACATTCATAGTGGCACACTTGTAGCCAAAATTTATGATTCTAGTCTTTGGCATAATATCATTAAGCTGCACCTCTTGATTGCCCAATGGGAGCTCTGGGATATTGGCAACGGGGAATCCATCAATGCTTTGGATAAGTGATGGATTGATATAAGTACAACCCTCTATAATTTTCTCCTTAGCAGGTCGAATGTTCAACAACCTCTTTTTGTTATTGATCTTTTGAATGAAAAAGGAGATATAAACTGGTGTAGGTTAAGGTTAATGTTTCTGAATGATATTCTTGGGAAGATCGCGACAATTATGCCTCTGAAGAAAGATTTGGGGACATATGCTTGCTTACAAAGAAGAACCACCAATGGTATATTCACTACCATGGTTGTCAAACTCGCGGGTAGACTCGTAAACTCGTACGAGTTTAGGAAGTAAAAATGAGTAGAATCACACATATAATCGTTATTTGATAGACTCGCGTAAACTCAGCTAGACTCACACAAAATCGTATAGACTCGCAAGTTTATGGCGAGTTTACAAGTCTATAAGTGTTTCTGATTCGTTTTTGAAAAAAAAACCCAAAAAATGGCCCAAATTCTCCAAAAGATTTTTTTAAAAAAGAAAACCGTTATTTTTTTTTTTGCTTTTATGACAATTACAAAGTCTCTCTCCTAATCTCTTCTTTCAGCAAAGTTTCTTCCTCCCTTCATTGACAACGTGATCGTGTTTGCCTTTTGCTTTGTTCGCATTTTTTTTGTAAGAAGATGAAAAATAAGTGGCATATATGGATTTAGATAGTCGTTTTTGGGTAAGCATGATCACCTGCTTGAAGATAGTTTCTCAGATTGGTGGGCTCTGAAGAAAATCCCTTCATGGATTTACTATACGCAAAGATGAATTCAGCCAAAGAGAAGATAAAAAAAACAATTTCAACAATGTTAAGTAAAGGTAAATTTTCTTATTTTTAATTTCTTCAATGTTTTGATTAACTTTTGTTGTTTCTAATATAGGATGTTTGAGATATGTACCTATTTTAAAAATCAACTTTAAATACATGGTTGTAGATAGCCAATTTTAAGTAAACGCATCTATTTGTAAATAACGTTGTGCAAAGTGGTGATAGTGACAATGTTGAATTAGGTGGAAGGGGAACTTCAAGCAATCCAACTTTGGTTAATGATGAAGAAGGTGTTTCATCTGGGATAGAGTTTGATGATGATAGTCAAGATACTGATGAAGATGATGATGATGATGATGATGATGATGATATTAGTGGTTGTGATCTCATTGAAACTTTGAATGTTTGGAGTCATTGTCATATATGTTTGATAAAAAAATTTCTTTATGTTGTAGCCAATTAATTAGAAATTAGTACTTTAAGTCTTTTACTACATATTTTTCTATTTTGTTTGTTTTATTATCGAGTTTTTTTTGTTAAGAAGTTTGTTATTTAGTATGAAATTAAAATTTTTGTATTACTTGGTGTTCTAGTATATATAATTGTGTCATATATGAGACATTTATATGTTTAAAAATATATGTATGTGTCATATATGTGTCACTTACATGATTTTGAAAGTCATTTTTAATTTTTCATAGATTCATACAAGTTTGCGAGTCGAGTCTACAAAGTATTTACGTGTCTGAGTAGACTCGCGAGTTTGACAACCTTGTTCACTACCAAAACTGCTTATTAATCTTTCACTAAAGAGGATAGCAACAATCAGCAGGTCAATTGGAAGAAGATTTGGGAGTTAAAAGTTCCTGAAAAAATTCATGTTTTCATCTAGCAAGTTCACTGGAAGTGTTGAAAACTAAGAAATTACACTCTTAGAGGTAACTTAGTGATCCTTAATGCAATGATTGCAGAGGAAAAGATGAAACCATAAGCCACACTTAAAAGATTGCAACTCTATAAGGCATGTTTAGCTTAACCTTGTGGAAAAATCCAAACATGCTTCCTTTTTCAACTCTAACTTGTAGGAGTGGCTTAGCCTTAATATGAATCATAATCTCAGCAAGAATCATGAGTTGCAATGGTAAGAAACCTAGGTCATTGCCTCACACCGCATCCGTATGTGGCGTAACAAGAGGTACTTTGATGATCACATCACCTTGCCTCATAATCCCGTTGCTACCATCTGGAAGTTACTGCATTAGTACAACCTTAGAGATGCCCTGATTCATGAAAACATCAAAAGACCAACCTCCGTGATCTATATTTAGTGGGATCCTCTTGATTTGGGTTGGCATACTCTTAATACCGATGCGACTGTTGGAAAACATGTGTTAGCTAGTTGGGGGGGTGTGGAACAGTAGAGGCAACTAGGTTATTGGTTTCTCCAAAGGTTTAAGCAGAAATAATGTGTTGCAAGCTGAGCTTTGGGAATTCTTGTTGGCATGAACATGATCAATAACAAAGTTGATATGAAATTATGTGTCAAACGAACTGCAAGCAAGTCTTTGAAGCCACTACTAGAGGTTATAAACTTGTTGGAATTGGAGGCAATGTGGTGAGATTAATTCAAAAGGAATTAAGGTGCTTCAAGGAAACTGTCATAATGAACATCCTGCGTGAGACCAATCGTTGTGCTGACAGGTTGACGAAAATTGGTGATACAAAGAATATGAATCTTAAGTTGTATGGCAATTGTTCTATAGAGGTCCTTAAGGTGTATTGTGATGACTAGGAGGGTGTCTCTAAGTAAAGGATAGTTCTTGTGTAGTCTTCGCTATTTAGTCTCCTTTCGCTCGAAAAAAAAAACAACAAAACCAACTCAATTAAGATGTTCAATCCAACTAAAGCGGCCATCACGTCCATATACTACACTCATTCACACTTTCAGTCAATTTTTTTTTATAAATATTGACTTGAACATTGAAAGGTTAACTTTATAATTTAAATTTAAGATATGATAATGTACTACCTGAATAGCCATCAATGTCCTAAAAGCCTTTTTCATTGTGATCATTTGCAAACATACAAATATTTTTCTATTCCAATACAAAATATATATAATTTAAATTAAATAGTTTTTATGACATTTTTCCGATTGAAAATATAATTTTTTTACATTAACGATATATTAAAATTAATTTGATTACAAAATAATACTCAATAACACTTGAATGAGATGATAAAAGACCTCTTCCAATTTAACCAGAGATTCTGCGTTCGAACACAATCCTAGACATGTTGCACTATTAATTTTTTTAAAGGAGAGTTTTGTCGCCTATTGTAGTCGTCTTCGACTTGAAGGATTAGTATCTACAGTTACGAGGTGAAGATACTCGATTTCTATCGAAAAAATTGGTTATGAAATACTAATTTTTCATGACAAATATCAGTTATGTCTGATTGATGTTAGATTGTTTGCCTCAAAAAAACCGTCTTAATTGCTTGTTTTGATTCCAGAGGGTGTTGGCTCGTGAATCAGTCTTTGTTCACATGTAATTCATTCGTCGTCTCGAAAAATAAAAGTTCACACAAAATTCTTCTTTTACTATTTAATTTTACGCCCGTGTACAAATTCTTCGGTGGTTCTTTAATGTGGTTTGAGTGAATCTATGGGTTTATTTTCTTAATTTTCATTGTATCTATATATTTGCCTTAAAAAAAAAATCAAATGATCAACAACTAAATTTTGTTTCTTTCCTTATTTACGCACACAATGATGTGTCATAAAACAATAGGCACAATAGTAAATATGAGTTTCCAAAAAAACCTAAAACATGGTCAAAGATTGACTTGGAAGAAAAACTCTAACCGGCTGTGTTACTACTAATTTACAACACACACAACACGCAAAAATAAACGGGTCCCACATCCTCCATTATTACAACCCTAATAACATTCTCCCTTAAATACTCCCTCTCAACAACGGTACAAAAACACAAACATAAACACATCAAGACTAATTCTAACGTTCGATTACTCATTTGACTCATCAAAATCAAAAAACAAACAAAGAAACAACAAAGCACAGAGAAAAATAAAAACAAAACAAACATGTCTTGCTCCGTCGCAGTTTCGAATTCGCCGGTGTTTTCTCCTTCTTCGTCTCTCTTCTGTAAACAATCATCAATCATCTCTAACTCTGAATCATTGAGTTTATCTCTCTCTCATCTCAAACCGACTAACTCATCATCAACCGCGTCCTCTCCTTCTCCGTCTTCATCTCCTTCTTCTCCTTTTTATCTCCGACTACCGAAACTACCCTCCGTGTTCTCATCTTCGTCCTCAAGTAACTCTACTTCCCAAAACGATGCTGTTTTGAAAAGGAAGCGACCAACGAGACTTGATATACCTGTTTCTTCTCTGGGATTTGGAGTTCCGGCGACACCGTCTAAGGTGGCGCGTGATGTTGTTGAGGCGGAAGGCGATGGGTATTCGGTTTATTGTAAGAGAGGGAGGAGGGAGTATATGGAAGATCGTTACACTGCTGGGGATAAGCTTCGTGGAGAAAGCAATTTGGTAAGAAATTTTTTCACTTTTTGAATTTTTGATTTTGTTAAAATATAATAGAATATTGAGTGGTTAGTGGTTGGTTTTGACTGTGATGTGTTTCTGGGAATTGGGTTTGGTGAAAGTTTGAAACTTGGTTTCTTAATTTGATCTGGGTCTGATTGAGTTAAACTGTTTGGAGATTTTAAACAAAAATTAGGGTTATAAAATTATGCAATTGAATTTTGATGTGAATTGTATGAAATCTAACTTGTACAAGTTTATTTTTGTGATTATTTCAGGCTTTTTTTGGCGTGTTTGATGGACATGGAGGTGCAAAAGCGGCTGAATTTGCTGCAAATAACTTGGAAAAGAATATCTTGGATGAGGTTATCATGAGTGAAGAACAAGATGTTGAGGAGGCAGTGAAGCGTGGTTACCTCAATACTGATTCTGAGTTCATGAAACAAGATCTCCATGGTGGTTCTTGTTGTGTAACAGCATTGATTAGGAATGGTAACTTAGTTGTATCTAACGCTGGCGATTGCCGTGCTGTGATTAGTAGAGGAGGAGTTGCAGAGGCCCTAACATTTGATCACAGACCTTCGAGGGAAGACGAACGGGATAGAATTGAGAGCTCGGTAAGTTTCTGATCATTGTAGTGTTTTTTTAACTGATGTTTATTAAAACCAATGTTTGAGTTTGGTTTGGTTTGGTCTGGTCGGTTCTTAAGCGTTGAAATTTGTCTTGCAGGGTGGTTATGTTGATTTATGCCGCGGTGTTTGGCGGATTCAAGGATCTCTGGCTGTATCTAGAGCTATCGGAGACCGACACCTGAAACAATGGGTGACTGCAGAGCCTGAGACTAAAGTTATCAGCATTGAACCTGAACATGACTTGTTAATATTAGCATCAGACGGCTTATGGGATAAGGTAAAGAATTTTGAACGACAAATTGATAAGTAGTTAGTATTGTATTTACTTCTCTGCTCGAGATTGAACTCTCGAACCAGCTGAACTACTATTGAATGCATTGAATGATTAACTGATCGAGTTTATTTTTGTCATTCTGATTTCAGGTTAGTAATCAAGAAGCCGTAGACATTGCTCGTCAATTTTGCATAGGAAACAACGAACAACGACCATTGCTGGCATGTAAAAAGCTTGCAGAATTGTCTGTTTCGCGAGGCTCGTTGGACGATACAAGTGTTATGCTAATCAAATTGAAACATTATACTTAGAAGGTTCATTAGCAGAAGAGGAGAAGGTGGTGCATGATGATAGAGATTAGCTTATTCTTTTATGTAGATAACAATTATCATTAGTTATCGATTATTCATATCTAACGACATTTATCGGTGATTTTTTTGTACCCGTAGATGGGTGGTAGAGGCTATTAACATTGCAGTATTCATGTAATAACTTTTTAGAATAATTCTGGTAATAATTCATTTATTCTTTTATACTAGTTTGGTTAAATGAAAATTGTGATAGTTCTCTTTTGGTGCATGATTGATTCAATGAGTCACTTTTTGAAATGGTCAAGCCAAGTTAGTTAGTCTTCTGTGTTATGAATGTAACAGGTACTCAAACTGTTACAAATTTGAAAGATGAATTAAGCTGTTTTAAGATTGACGATCCTTAAAACTTGAAGAAATTACCACTTGTCTTTCTTCTATCTAATTTTTTACCACACTAGTTAGAACAAAAGAATTCCACCAGTTTCATCTTCCTTGACATCAATGTGGATTTATGTTATGCAGGGATAACTGTTAGTTTTGATGATGATAGCTAATGACGACTATCAAGCAACTTTTAAAGAGCTATTAACATATAATTTCTTTTTAAGAGTTCTTTTTGACAAATGTTAAAGAGAAATTTGATATCAAGTGTCTAGTAGTTCCTGATGATGACATTTGATAAAGACGAATATATCTCAAACCTCATTAGACAAATGATTCAAAGTTTCAGTTGAAGCGCTAATCAATCATTGAATCATACAAACAATCAATCATTGAATCATACAAACAATCTTGAAGTTTGAAAGTGTGAAACTGTGAAAGCTTGTTTGATCCTGCGCTTAACATATTAGAATGACCAATTGAAATTGTAAAAAGACAAAAGTAAGTCCTAAAGTATTAAGACAATCATCACACACAATTTTTTTTTCTTTCAAATCCTCTCTAATTTCATTAAAACTTCTCATGTAACAAATTGATTAATAAGTGTTTTTAATCAAGTAGGAAATCTAACTCCCTGCCTAATTGATTAATGCAAGGAGAAAGACATTTCTAATCGATTAGAAAATCAATTAATCGATTGATTCATATAGCTGTATTAGGGTATCCTTTAATGGATCAAGGTTTTCACATTTTCAATATAAAGAAGACTTTTTTTTATTTCAATTTACATCAGATTTATGAATAGAAACTTCTCTGTTATTTTTTACTATCATTGTTTTTGAAATTTCATTTTCGTAAGAATTGAGATAATACTAAAACATTAAAAAGACCTTTTGAGACTTGTGTTGTAAATTGTAAATTGTAATGTGTTTAATCTATTTTATTCAAAAGTGTGATCCTCATGTGTAATATCTATTATAAAATATTTTAATGGTTTCAAGACAAACATGAAAAAAGTTTGGTTCTAGGCTCTTAGCTAAACCTATGTATAATCGCTAGTTGTAAGTTGTGGAGATAAGTGTCTGTAAAAACTCCTCTTGAATTTTTTTGAGTTAAACCTATGTATAGGCTCTGATTGTAGGTTCTTGAACTCAGTGTGTGTAAAAGCTCTGTTAAAAAATTCTTAAGTTAAGTTTATATAAAAGTTTTAATTGTAGGTTGTTGGGTTAAATCGGTGTAAAAGGTCTGTTTGTTGCTGAAAGTTGTTTGGATTGATCCCGTTAAAGGTCAAGTTTGATTTTATTGAAAATGTCAAGAGAAAACTCTTAAGGATATGAGTAGATCAAATGATTAGATCAAATAACTAATAACCACTTAACAACTAATGATTAAGCGTATAATTATTTAACAACTAATTAATAACTACTTAACAATAACCACTTAATAAATAAGAAATTTAATTAGTAAGTTACTCATGACTAAGGATGTCAACTTACATTTATTATTGGAAAATTTTATGTTTGGGGCTCCAAATAAGAAATTTTTTTTTCTTGTAAGAATAGGGATGTAGAATAAAGTGCTCCCAGAAGTACTTCGAGCACGGAGACGATAAACATATTCTTTGTTCCACCTAAAATAAATAAATAAATATATATATATATATATATATATATATATATATATATATATATATATATATATATATATATATATACACTGAAGACCCATTTATTTAAAGAGTAAGTTTTTATAACTTATTCCATAATTATAGCCTTTAAATTAGATTTAATCGAATGATTATAAATAAAAACACTAATTTAACCACTAGGTTTGATTCAATTTAAAGGCTATAATGTGGACTAAATTAAAAAAACTTTCACTTTGAGTAAGTTGATCCCCACTCAGGCACTCATATATATATATATATATATATATATATATATATATATATATATATATATGTATATATATATATATATATATATATATATATATATATATATATATATATATATATATATATATATATATATATATATATATATATATATATATATATATATATATATATATATATATATATATATATATATATATATATATATATATATAGTTTTATTAAAAAAATAAAAAAAATTTTAATATTTGTAAAAGAGAATGATCTAAATAATTATTTTAAAATTTTTTAAGTTTGAAAATTCGGTCGCCATAACTTTTATGAGCATAGATTAAATATTATCAAAATAATAGATTTATCATAGATGATTAGGGATGACAATAGACAGAGCTTGGATAAGATACAATAGTACCTATCTTCAAACCCGCGGTTTAATAAAATTCTCGTACTCGAACCCATACTCGCGTGTGCAACATCGTTTGTGCCCGTAACCGTACTCTATTGGTAATAAAGTATGGATACTCATATTTTTAATAAAAAATTATCGATCAATTTTATTTATCATGTCATTTTAATTTTTTAAAAACATTTAAAAAAAATTGAGAATGTTATTGTTGAATTAAGAAATAAACAAATATTTATATTAAAATATGTTGAAATTTAATAAGGATTTATTTAATAAATATTTTAGATTATATATGTACATTATAATGAAAATAAAAATATATAAATATATATATATATCGTGCATGTATCGGGCGGACTGAGTATTAATATATTCATATCCGCATTCAAATTTTTACTCTATTTATTATGGGTAAATTTTTCGAATATCTATTAAAAATGGATACAAGTATCATACTATAAATGATTAATTTCTTAATACTATTAATCTAGTTTAACACAATGTTATTGTTTTTTATATTTATGATTCTTCTCAACAATCTTGAAAATTCACGGAATAGAGATGAGAATGAAGATGTATAATCGCACCCACTCCGCTTAATATTATATTTATTCAATACCAAAATAAAAATCTAAAATTAAAATATAATTTTCTCACACCAAATACATTCTTAGACTTCAAAGATGAAAATACCCATAAGTTCACTTTTATTTATTTATTTAAGATATGAAACTAACACTTCTTACTCGTGAAAATTACATTGTAATCTAATTTGTTATATTAATTTATGTTAATTCTCACAATTTTATAACTTTATCATCGCAAATGGTTTACTAATTTCTTATTAAGAGGTCCATGTTTCCCTCTCTAAACTCGTTGACTTTGACTAAGGGTGAAGCTATATTTGTTGGAATTGAGTTTTGCATAAGGTTCATGAGCCTTATAATAATACTTAGGAATGAACCAATGTGAACATTGCATTAATAACTAGTATTAATATAATAACACTTGGTGAAAACTAATGTGAACATTGCATTAATTTATATAAATAGCACCGTTGGTGGATGTTGACTAAGTTTCATGGCCATTATTTAGGAGCACTGACTAAGTTCCCCTGCCGACCAGGAAATATAGAACCATATCCGCCCCACTCATTTGTCCTTTTGGATAGACTCTAGGAATGAGCCATTATCAAATTTTAAATTTAATTTTAATTCAAATATGAACTATCAAACACCAATTACAAGTGTTTCTACAGTTTACAAGAGAAAATGTGACACCAAAGCTGGGTTGTAGTTTGGAGCGTGTGCTGTTTGAATCTGATTACAATGATAATGGTTGGTTCGGTTATGTGAATCGAGTTGAAAACATAGTGGCCCATTGTTTGGTCTAATTAGCCCAATCCAATAACAATTGTAGTTGAATTGGTCCTGATTGTATCCTGTCCAAATCTCCTATGAAATGAACCCAGATCAAACCTAATATGTTATTGGAGTAATGTGTGTTGTAGTCGAAGTTTGTTTTAACATGCATTAGTCAATATTGCTAGATTTGTTAGCATATTGAATTGAGACTCACTTGTAAGCTCAATTGTTTAAGTTAGCTTGTAATGAGTAATTGTTAAAAAATCTATTAGGTTAGTGTGCTATTTTTTTTTATAAATAGCATGCTAGTCTCTCATCTTGTATAAGAAAAAATAGGAAGATAAAATCCTAATTCAAGAGAGAGAGGTTATTTGTTATTCTTGTATACTTGTAATCTTGTTTGATAGATAAAGGAAAGAATAGCAGTTTATAACCAATCCTTGTTGTTTCTTCTTGTTCTTTTTGCTTGTTTTCTTTGTTAACCCTAACTCTTGTGTGTTTCTTGAATATAAGGCGACTGATAATGACTACCTGCTAGTAAGAGACAATTCGAAGAGAGTCATCAAACCACCTCAGAGACTTGAGTATGCAAATCTTATAGCTTATACCTTAATCTCTGCAAGTGAGGTTCTAGACGAATAACCTAGAAACTATAAGGAAGTTATGATGAGTCGAAAGAAGACTGAATGGATGAAGGCCATGGATGATGAGATGAAATATCTTCATGATAATGACACTTGGGAACTGATCAAGAAACCTGCTGGAGCCAAGTTAGTCAATTGTAAATGGATTTTCAAAGTTAAGGAAGGGATCGAAGTAGTGGCGTCGAAGAGATACAAGGCAAGATTGGTCGCTAGGGGTTTCACTCAGAAAAAGGTGTTGACTTCAATGATGTGTTATCTCCTGTTGTGAAGCACAAATCTTTTCGAATGTTGCTTGCCGCAGTGGCACA